AGGAATTCACTTATGTAATCTCCTATTTAAGGAGCTACGAATTGAAGTAAAGCATTCAGTTTTCTAGTCAAGAAAATAGTGAGGAGAGTTCGGGTGGTCTCTTGGACAAACCACCCATTCATTTTCCGCAATAGGGTCTGCACGCCAAGGGAAGGTGCAAGGGAAAGCAGGGCTTTTGCACCGTGGACCGACCCGTGACGGGATCCTACGCGCGGGCCCATAACATTTGGTATCAGAGCCAAACGTCACGGGCGATATGGAGCAGCTATCAGTCAAGGTCAACGAACTGGAACATAGGCTAGCAGAAACCAACATGGAGGTTCGTGAAGTCAAGGAAGACGTCCGGGAGATGCGACGCCTGCTGGAAGCATTCATCTCCAACAAAGAAATGAGTTCTGAGGGAATCGCCAACACTAACAGATGCCGTCCGGACTAGGCAGAGGCATCCAGTGAACAACAGATCGCTGCCCCTACAGCCGCAATTATTTCCAAGGATCAGCGCACGGAGGATGAAACTGTAAATTCTCCTCCTTTGGCCGGGGACAATGTCACGAACATTATAGTAGAACCTGCAGAATGCGCTCCTTTGACGAAGACATGTGGGCTTGGCAATGTTGCTGGGGCTTTATCGAAGGCCTTGGCTCGGCGTGGACATAGAGTTATGGTTGCAGCACTACAGTATGGTAACTATGCAGAAATCCAAGAAATAGAAGTGCGCAAGAGATGTAAGGTGGAGGGGCAGGATATAGAGGTAACTTTCTCTCAAGCTTATATTGATGGCATGGATTTTGTGTTCATAGACAACCCTATGTTCCGCAATATTGAGAAAAATATATATGGGGGAGGCCGAGAGGATATTTTAAAACACATGGTTCTCTTCGGTAAGGCAGCTCTTGAGGTTCCCTTCTGTAAGTACACTCGGTGCATTCCTGTGATCCACAACATAGCACATCGGGGCCGTGGTCCAGTACGCGATTTTTGTTATGTGGATCTTCCACAAAACTACTTCAAACTATATGACCCAGGAGGTGGGGAACACTTCAATGTCCTTGCGGCTGGCCTGAGTGCAGCAGATCGTGTAGTCACTATAAGCCATGGTTACGCCTGGGAGCTAGAAACTAAAGGAGGTGGCTGGGGTTTGCACCAAATAATCCAGCTTTATGCACTGAGCTACGGGGCAGTCCCTGTTGTTCATACTGTTGGTGGACTGAGAAATAGTGTGCAGTCATTTGATCCATTCACAGAGTTCCAAGCCATGTATCTGGAATTCGAGCCTGAGGACAAGCTCGTAGTCCGGGAGGGGTGTGATGTTATGGACACACCACCCGGCAGCACACTGCGGCGCAGTCATTGGCAGCAGCACGCACCGCCCGGCAGCGCCTCACAGAAGCCCGGCAGTGCACCGCACGCACCGCGCGGCGGCGGCACAATGAGCCGCGCGCATGCACCCGGCAGTAGTAGTAGAGCGGGGCCCACACGACAGCTCATAGGGGTGGGCCCACCCTTATCTGGACACGTCAAGAGAATTCACCGCCAGCCTACCTTATCCCTTATCCCTTATCTTATCTTATCCTTATCTTATTTTATCTTCTTAAGTAAGAGTTATGAGTTTTAGTTTGAGTAGGAAATTAGGAGTTTTAGTTTGAGTTGGATTACCCTAGCCTAGCCGAATCCAACAAGGAATTCCCTTGTGTAATCTCCTATTTAAGGAGCTATGAATTGAAGTAAAGCATTCAGTTTTCTAGTCAAGAAAAGAGTGAGGAGAGTTCGGGTGGTCTCTTGGACAAACCACCCATTCAGTTTTCGCAATAGGGTCTGCACGCCAAGGGAAGGTGCAAGGGAAAGCAGGGCTTTCGCACCGTGGACCGACCCGTGACGGGATCCTAGGCGATGGCCCATAACAGACAACTTGCAGTTTGTAAAGTTGCCCCTACAGGTTGAGCTCCTTGTGGCTTATCGTAGGAGTAGACGACCAACACCTTAAAGGACTGATACAGCGCAGCCGTGGCACCAACCCACTATTTAAATTCCAACATCGACGCACATATCACAAGGGGAAGCCAAACTGCCTTCAACATCAAGGACCCCTAAGCTGACCTCAAAATATGTTGGTAATAGGCCTAAGAACCTACAACGAAGCACAAATCTACTCCCTTCACTGAGCTGATCTTATCTCAAGAGTGGGGGGCAATTGCTGAGGGCAGATTTGGCCCTCCACTAACATCATGACACATAGCATCTCAGAACAACTGGGTGACACACAAAACCACCTAGGCGACAACTTGCCTTAGCCAAAATGATGGAGTCCCAGCTAGCAACCTGACACTGTCGCCGACCTAGCGACCTGCCTCTGGTGCCGACCTGGCGACTTGCCTCTAGCGCCAACTTGACGACCTGCCTCCACCCCCGACCTAGTAGAAACCTAGCCAGCGACCTTGTCCACGACTCAGGGCGGCTAGTAGCACCTCATCCAGGGCTGACCTGTGGTACCTCGTCAGTGTTGGCTGAAGCGACCTCGACGTGGGGAGCGACCTCCCTCGAGGGCTTGCCGACCTGATTGAGGTCCAGGTGGCGGCGACCTACGAGACGTGCTCGC